TCAGATGAAACAGGGCCAGTACCAGGCCGCCCAACTAACGCTAGGCTGCCCGACCAGCCAGGCAGGCCAGCACCAGGGTCCAAGAGCCGAGTAATGGGGGCGAAGTCTAGTCTCCACCGCCAGGCCGCCAAAGTACTTCCAGGCCGCCCTTCTAAGCCACGAAAACGGGCCGAAAATAAGCCGAACGCCAGGCCGTCCGGCCCACCGGAACAGGCCCGCGCCCGGCAGGGGAGCCGAATAACATAGTCCGGACCAGGCCTCCACCACCGGGCCGCCCAAGATCTTCCTGGCCGGAGTTCCTCCCGGCTGCCCAAGTCGCTCCAGCCGCCCAAAAATCGTCCCGGCCGGAGTCTTTCATGCCGCCCGAGCTCTTTCCGGCCGCCCAAGTCCTCTCCACGCCGCCCGAGTCCTCCCAGCTTTGCGGCCGAGGCCTCCCAGTTAGGCCGCAATCGAGCAGGCCGCGTTCTTCTGGCTGCGGTCGTCTACACTGGGCCCGAGCTGGAACCGGGCCCAGGCTAGAGAGGAGCCGAACGGGTCAGGGCGGGCCTAAAACGGGCCGGGTGGGCTAAAACGGGACCGAGCGGGGGTTCGCCCACCTGCTCGTCACCGCAAGCCCCCCCGAGGCACCCCCAAAACACCCCATGTCCACTTGCCGGGTCAAAATGCTTACGGAGCGTTCCGCTGGCGATCCGCCATCTTGAGCATGCGCAGGTTAGGGGACCTATGGCAATGTCATCCCGCCCCCTTTTATATTGACCCAAATGCATTCAAGACAGTTTTCGTCATTGTTGTGCTCTAGTTTTGCTAGTATATTTCTGGGAAGAAATTCTGCAGGAGAAGACCTTTGGCAAAACATATTTCCCTTTGTACCTTTTCTGCCACACCACAAAGAAATAAGAAATTCTGAGTATATATTCTACCAGCACCCTTTATAGGATTTTATAAATTATTACCTACTCTTTAAATTGCACTTGGAACAAACTGGTGTTAGCGCAGCTCCTATGCTATAGGAAATTGTATGATAATATTGTGAGAAATGTTGTTTCTCAAAGTTAGCAAGTTCAAGACGTGTGGACCAGCTCCCAGAATTCCCCAGCAGTCCACACATCCTGAAGTTACTGAGGTTGTGAAACACTACAGTATGTTAAAAAAGAGATGGCCTTGGGAAGAAGGAAGGGAGCAATTTAATAAGGAGAAAAGATTACACAATCCTAAGAAAGAAGCGTGAGAAAGAAACTCAAAATAACCCAACCTTGATTTTGTTTGTCAGGGAGAAACTCCAACAGGCTTTTTTATTCTACCCTGAACCAATAAAGAGCACTTATGGTGCTAGTTCTGTTTCCTGATCCTCTCGAAAGGCTGTCATCTTGCTGATAGCCATTAACATACAGGCAACTATAATTTGCTCCAAATATAGTTTCTGGATAGTCTTGAAATATGACAGGGATATATTGGCTCTAAATTAAAAATAATTAAGTTGCTGGTATTCTTGGAACCAAGTCTCTTATATTTTATTAATCTTGCTAAAATGTAGGCTGTGAGACTCTGAATCATCTTCAGTTCTAAGTAGCTACTATACAACCTGAGACTTAACATAGGTCATCAACAAAAATGAGCTGTGCAGTTTCCATTCTATGATTCACATATTGGAAAGTGATTTAATGTGCTTTCAGGAGCCATAAGCATCTAGTAGGAGTGGGTGTGGGAGGGATTTTCATACTTGTGAGATTGTCATCATATAAATCACATGATTTACAGTATGTACTTACAACAGATGTCATGTTGTGAGTATCTAATATTGGCATTTGTATAATACCATTTTAATGTCTCTGAATTTTGTTATGAGCACCATCATCAAGATTTTATGATCCTTGGATTTGTTTGCACTTCAAACTAACTAAAGTTTAATTGAAAATGCTTTACTGAATGAATACAATTGTCTGTGTTTGCACAACACACTGAACTATTGCTCATTCAAATGGGCTGCACTTACAACACACAGTGCTAGGCTCATTATCCATGATTAACTCAACTACAGTTTATCTAGATACTCTATTTGGGGGGAATACCTTGAATCATAGACTAACGAAGCAGACTGACATAATACAATATGCTAGACCTGCTTTTCTCAGCTAAGCTTGGATGAAACTCTAGGTACAATGAGAAGTCACAAGAGGTTCCATAAAAAGTTGTGACTGAAAAGAAATTTATAAAAATAACTTTGAATGCCGTACATTGCCTATACCCGCAGTAGTGGGGATTTTTATGTGCTGTGGTTTAGATGCCAGCCTTCCACATTGCTTTTCTTGTACATGTGGCAAAATGTAAGTTAGAAGTAAATTGCATCGTAACGTTTCATATTTATTTTTAGATTTCTATATATTTCTGGTTTCTCTCTCTTTCCTGTATATACACACACATGCACATACACACAGACACATCTACGCAGGTATTCGCTGGGACCTGAAAGTTATTTCAAGGGCTCTTCAAGGGCAAAAAGGTTGAGAAAGACTGTGCTAACCTATGCTGGACAAATTTGGGATTGAGTGTAGCCTATGAACCATTTTTTTGTGTACTTTCTTCAGATTTAATTACTTCAGACTGAATCACCATTGCTAACAAGAGGAGCAAACTACTCTATTACAAATGTGCATAATGAGCCTCCAGAAGATGGATTATTTTTGGTTGCAATTAAATGCTTTACACTGCAGTGTATCTGGAGGAATAATTTGCAATAGTGTTTTTCTTGCACTAACAGTGCCACATGCCTTCCCTGCATCCCGAGGCTTACCCATCTCTACAGACAGTCACTTTCTCATTCTACAGTTATGTTTATTCAGTTGTCAGAGTACCAGGACTGGAGAGGAGCTAATAATATTGAAGCATTAAAAGAGAAGCTGCTCTCATTATCCAGAAATACTCTCTGTTTACAGACCGGGAGGTTTCAATAATTTGAAAGAAAAAAACTGGTTTTATCAGACGTATAATATTATGGAAACAATGATTTCATAACTATATTTTTTCCCTGAAAAGCTAGACTATTTTTTAATACAATTACTGTAAGCACTGAGTTTTATACCAGAGCATAGTATTGTGAGTACAAGAGAAGTAGGTGTTTGAAAGGTCATGTGTATTTTTAGCAATTATATTCTAATCGTTCTCCTTGTCATTTTTTTAACTCTGTTCATTTAAAAAGCCTCAACTCTTCACAGATACAAAGTTTAAAAAATATGTGAAATAAATAAACTAATAAATGAATGAATAATAAAACAAACAATACTAATTTTCCACTGTGAAATTGTTTTCCACAAATCAGGACCAAAAGCTTGGTTTTTTGTTACATTTTAGACATTAAATCCTTGCTTCTGACACCAGCCCTGCTGAGTGAAGGGATTTGTTTTTGCTTTCCTTTCATTCCTCTCGCAACAGCGCATGGTTTTCTGTGCTCTTTGGTTGCAGAAAAACAGGCCAGCTCTATCCAGCTACCCTTGCATGCAATCTGATTCTGGTTCAATAAACAGGAGCCCTGCCAAGCGGATTTGCCTTGTAACTGCCATCCCTATTACAAAACTGTGGATTAAAAAAAAAAACAAGCTAAGGATAACCTTCTGATAGTGTCAGAAGAATGCAGTGGGAGAACAGCCAGTGTGTCTCAAGAACAAGCCAGACATCATTTTATGCAGGTTATGTATCAGGCCAATTTATAGAAAAATGAAATAATGGCATTTGAGGATTAACTGTTCTGTGGAAAAGAATGGGATGTTTCATTCAGCGTACTGTCAACTTTTAGAAATAGTTATTTATTAGATTTGTACTGTACCTTTTATCTGTAAGCTCATGGATATATATATTAGATAGATAGATATTGGATCTCTTTTCATTTCTCCATACCACAATCTTCTCAGGTAGCATAGACTGAGAGAGGTTTTTTTTTTCTTTTTACGATCCTGTAATCCCTTGTATTGGGGTGAAATTGGGGCGACTGAATGGAGCTGAGTATTTACTGGCTAGATGTCCTTCCAGATACCTATGTGGAGTTCGCAGCAGATATGTTCTCTTCGCACCCAAATAGAGAAACATCTGTTCCTGCCTAGAATTGAAACTGTCAACTCCTGGCCACCATGCCGCTCTTAGGCTGAGAGAGAGTAACTGGCCAATTAATCACCCAGTGAACTTCTGTGGCTGAGGGTAGAATTGAACCCGGGTTTCCCCAACCCTGTGACAGCATCCAGCCATTGCACCACACTGGCTCTCATGACTGGTATACATGATTCTCCAGAAAAGAGTTTTTGGTGAGGATACCTTTGTTGCATCATGTGTTTACCCAATATTATGCATGTAAACTTTAAATTTTGATGAGGGAATGACAGGTTCTTTTTAAGCAGACAAAATGGGATACACACCCACACCTTTATAGAATAACAGAGTTGGAAGGGACTTTGGGGGTCTTCTAGTCCAACCCCCTGCCCAAACAGGAAAACCTATAACATTTCAGACAACTGGCTGTCCAGTCTCCTTAAAAACTTCCAGCGTTGGAGCACACACAATTTCTGGAGGCAAGCTGTTTCACTGATTAATTGTTCTGTCAGAAAATTTCTCCTTATTTCTAGATAGCTTCTCTCTTTGATTAGTTTCCATAGAAATATTAATACCTTTATCCTGCACCTCTGTGTGTGTTAGAGATACAGCATATAGGTATTTATATTCCTATAAATGTGTGTGTATAAATGAGAGAGAGAGAGAGAGAGAGAGAGAGAGCAGAATCCGTTAAGACTATGTGAGAGAAAAGGACACACCAGCACCTGAGCTAGCTCTGAAGCACATAACAAAGGCCTTTTATTTGTAATGTTTTCCCGATCAAATAGCTGATAGCTCCTGCAGCTCCTGTAGAGCAGTGACGTACATGCAGCTTAGAGCTCCCGGGTCAGATTCCTCACCCTTCGGTGTTATCCAGCCCTGTGTTCTCAAACCTAAGCCAATTCACATTAATAGAACTCTTTCATGTGATCCAGGGGGAAAGGGATCCCAACCCAGAGGAGTGAAAGGCAGTGAAGGACTTGGGAAAATGAGTTCTCTCTTTCTGTTTAGTTTAAGGAAGACTCTCTTTTAATTTAAAGGAAGGAACACTAGGTAAGTACATCCTAAATCACACTTTTATAAATCCTTGACAACAGAAAGCTTGATGTATATTGTCAACTCAAGTTTGCAGTGTTACCCAAAAAAAAGACCTTTGTTTTATATTTTGTATTTCTTACTGAAACTTTCATTTTACAATCATTCTCAGGATATTTGTTTGCTAGCCCATGTGATGATCAAAGTAGAAAGTATATTTTATTTTTTTAAGCATATATAATTGGAGTAATGTTCCCATATGTCATAAAGCCAAATAAGAATGTTATGCTAACATGAGTTATGTTAATGTAACTGCTCTAAAGGGTAGGATTATATCAGTGATTCTTTTTAACTTGTGAGAAACTTATTTATTAGCTTTCAGGAGTTTATTTATTGGCTCTCAGTGTCACACAATACAGCAAAATATAGGAAAACATTTCCAACCCCAGTACTATGCTTGGTGTTTTTGGTTTCCATCCACCCAAGTATGTCGTAGAAATATATGATTCTTTTTTCTTACCTTGAGTAATTCTAAAAATAAAAATACTGACACATTCCTGTAGTCTCCACGGCTTTTTATCCCGATATCTAAATCTCATTATCTTGTTAATTTTACTGTGTTCTGTATTAATTGAAATCATCTCTGAAGTTTATTAAAATCAAATCAATGCAACACAGAATATTCAAACTACATTTTAAATCTTTTTAATCGTGCATGGAAGAAAATGAATGAACCATATTTAGTGTCTTTCTCAACTTATCATTGTTTTGTATTTGTTACAAATTTATATTTACCTTTCCTCCAAGGCATTAATCAGCTTGGTTACATAAGAAGGGCAGTCCTAATTTAGGCAAAGGCCTATCTAGTTTAGCTTTCAGTTTTTCAGAGTAAGTAGTAACTTAGATTCAGTATTTCTCAACCTCAGTAACCATGGTTGGCTGGGGAACTCTGGGAGAATAAGATTGAAAACCAGTGGCTTAGATAATAGTACAGATAGTTCTTGACCTACAACAGTTCATTTAGTGACTGCTCAAAGTTACAACAGCACTGAAAAAGTGACACTTTTTCACACTTATACCATTACAGCACCCCCTTTTGATCACGTGATCAAAATTCAGACATTTGGCAATTGAGTCATGCTTATGATGGTTACAGGGTCATGTGATCACCTTTTGTAACCCAACAAGCAAAGTCAATGGGGAAGCCTGATTTGCTTAACAACTGTAGTACTAACTTAACAACTGCAGTGATTCACCTAACCCATGCTGGCTCAGGAATTCTGGGAGTTGAAGTCCACGAGTCATAAAAGAGCCAAGGTTGCCTACCCCTGACTTGACCACTGTAGCAAGAAATTGCTATATTCTCCATTTCTCATAAAATGGAGAAAACTTGTTTAACAAATGTCTCACTTAGCAACAGAAATTGGCTCAATTGTGGTGATAAGTCAAGGACTATCTGTAAATAGTAAATAATGAGTCTCTAGCAAGGCAACAATACTTTTCTGCTGTGGTTTGCCTGCATCTTGATACCCTTTGTGAACTTTACAAAAGAAGTTACAAATCTGTATCAGCATCTGCTAAGTCATGTGATAGTAAAGGATCTTCATCCAGTGTGAATGCACAGAAAGAGTTACAAGGATCATGTTGCATAGAGAAGTTCTTATTCTACACCAATGTTTTTCAACCTTGGGAACTTGAAGGTGTGGAACATTTCAGGCTGTGGAATTCTGGGAGTTGAAGAATTCTGGGAGTTGAAGTCCACACACCTTAAAGTTGCCAAGGTTGAGAAATCCTGTTTTATGCTATTCTTTTACTTCTTTTTCATAGATATTTCTAGTAAGAAAAAAGATAGGAAAATATTTGAAAAACACTGAAAATGATGTGTTTAGCTGATGAAATCACTAACTGCCTCCTTCATAACATACCTTGAATGAGGTAAGTTGATTGCAGAATAAAACCCAAATTGGAAGCAATCTCTATCCTTTCAAATTGAAACTTGAAATAATAAAAACCCATTAATAAATTATGTGTATACCTTCATGACTATAGTACACTTTCTATAATTATTGGTTTTTGTGTGGGTAAAACGCAAAACCTATTACTGAAGTTTATTCAACTGACAGGTGTTAAAAGATCCCTTTAAGTACTTAGACCTTTCTCATAATTTTTGAAACAATTTTATTGTTTAGCTAGATGAATCACCAAGCCACAGGAGTGACATTTTGTACAACCATTGTTAGGACAGAGGAAAAAAGAAAAGCAAAATCTAAAAAATTTAAAAAATGAACAAAAACATAAGGATTAAAAAGGGTGACATATCTGCAAAAACCTGAATATATGACAACCCTAGCTTAACATAACATCATACTTAATAACATCTGATGGTTCTTTCCCCACCATTTCATTCTATATCTATGAAATAGGTTAGGCTGAGACACAATGAGAGAAAGCAGTTGTGTTTCATGAATGCATAGGAATTACTGCTTGGACTCTTCCAGTCCCACCCTACCTGCAAACTGCTGAGTTCTACAGTGATCTTGGTAACATCACTGGATATTCATTTTTATTATTTTAGCATTTTATATTGTACCTCCCTTTGGATAGCTGGATAATTGTCAAAACATGTCAGACATAGAAACTGAATTTAAAAAAATATATATTTGAAACCCAGGTGTTTAAACCTAGTGAACTGCAAAGGGAAATAGGAGAAATAACAGAAGGAATCCTACAATTCATCTGAAGTTATGTAAAAGGAGGGGAAATCTGCATCGACTTCATCTGTTGTTTTTTTTAATCTAAAGATGCTTTGTAGAATATTTTCCATGTTTGTTTATATCACTACGGATTAGGAGAAGGAATTCAGTAAACTGAAACTTAAAATAGCATCTGAAATTTTAACTCTTTCTTAAGTTGCATAAAAGGTTACAAGTGGGTTCAATCAGAATAGAGCTAGAAGAGGGGAGGTCTTCTAGTCCAGCCCCCTGCTCAAGCAGGAGACCCTATACCATTTCAGAGAGGTGGCTGTCTAGTCTTTTCTTTAAAACCTCCAGTGATGAAGCACTCACAACTTCTGAAGGCAAGCTGTTCCACTGGTTAATTGTTCTCACTGTTAGGAAGTTTCTCCTTAATTCCAAGTTGTTTCTCTCCTTGATTAGTTTCCATCCATTTTTTCTTGTCTTGCCTTCTGGTGCTTTGGAGAACAGGCGGACCCCCTCCTCTTTGTGGCAGCCCCTCAAATATTGGAAATACAAATACTGTATTCCAGTATTTGAATAGAGTATATTTTTATTTATTTTATAGTACAGTAGTGGCCAAAATTGTGGAAACCTTTTGGGAAAAGTGTATTTTTGAGGTTTGATGGCTAATAACACTTTTCTTTTTGGAGTAGTACCATAAAATTATATATCAATGGAAAGATAATTTAATCAAGAATGTAATGCAACAAAGTTTGTTCAATTATCTGTAAGCAGTTCTTATATCCAGAATTGTCTTAAAGTTTTTGGAAGAAAAACAAACTGATCCAGTTACATTTTTCAATGAAAACTTATAGCCAAATAACCAGAAAAAGGAAGCACAACTTGCTTAGGTTGATATCAGGTAGCGTTCCTTCATCTGATTGTAGCCAATGAGCATGAATGTTTAGAGAGCCAATCAGGTGTCATCTTGTTTTGGCACTGAGCCAATCAGATCACAGTAGGATTCAGTTATTGATATCATGTATTGAAGCTGAGAGGAGGACATTTGTCAGTGTGTTATGTAATCGCTATCAAGTTGGTTGGGGTTTTTTGTGTTCTTTCATTTAGTGAGCTTGTAAAACGTAATAAAATTAAAGTAATGGTGCAAAGAGTTGACTGGTTGTCCAGAAAGCGATGTAAAATAGTATTATTAAGTGAACAAGGCTACAGTTATAAAGAAATTAGAAGAAAAATTGGTGGAAACTTAACCAAAGGTGGCATTTCTACTGTACACTTCTCCCAAAAGGTTTCCGCAATTTTGGCCACTACTGTATATCCAGTATACTGTATAAATACTGGGTTACAGTTCATATCTTAATTACTGCTTTTTCAAAAAACAGCATGCACTAAAGATAGGAAGAAAAAAAGAGCAAAAAATAATCTTTATTGTGAATATCCTAGAAATATTCCAGTACAGTAATAGAAGCTGCAATGAATTAACTAGATTATTTAAAAAAAGTAAGCAGTTCTTATATCCAGAATTGTCTTAAAGTTTTTGGAAGAAAAACAAACTGATCCAGTTACATTTTTCAAATTTAATTCTGTATAAGGGATTGGGAAATAGACAATTTCCAATTTGTCCTTTGCCAGCATACAGTGTAATATACTTAAACCAATGTGCCAACAAAACATTTGATAAATTTTCTCTATCTTTTAATATTCCAACTGATTTTAAATTAACCAGACTTCATTACTCCTAGTAAAGGAGTAAATCTGGTAAAACTGCCGAAAAAACTTGCCATATACTATTTTAGAGGAGATAATTTATTGTAAAATTGCTTCTCTTCCGAAATCAGCTTTGAAAACATATCTAGATTATACTGAACATGTCAGTCAGGCAGACCAGACAGGAAGCACAACCAGATGAGTTAATTATACTTTATTATAAGGCTATGTTAACAGAATCTTGCAAATCTGATAATACAAATCTTCCACCATCTCTTTTACAGCCTGAGAAGTAAAGGAGGTTCTTTCTGAGTCTCTTCCTCTGTCATTATGTAGCTGTAGGCTATGCCCTTTCTTATCCGATAGTCCTCTAGGCAGTCTCCCTCTTTCTTCCCCCACCCCACCCCTGGTCATTCCTGCATACAATTAGAGAACAAGAACTGATAGAGCAGTGGTGGTGAACCTATGGCACGCGTGCCAGAGGCGGCACTCAGAGCCCTCTCTGTGGGCACGTGCGCCATGCCCCGGAGATGGCAACCGTCCCTCTTCAACCAGCTGCCCGCTAACTCGCCGACGTCCCACGTGGCCAGATGCATCCCAGCATGGCTGGTTTCCTTC